TTCGTCGTGTTAATTACTCGGTGCAGGAATTTTCCACCTCGTCCAAAGCATCAGTCGGACATGTCGGCTTCACGCTACTCCTGGTGGTACTGGACACAGCCTTGGGCTCCGGAGGTTTCGGCATCGCAGCCGGATGCGTATTCGAAAGCAATCCCGCTCGCCTGCAAGCGTGTCTCTTCTGCGACAGAGGTTCCTTTCGGGTGTGCAAATTCACGAAAAAGCTGTTCTTTTTTCGACGGCAAGTAATCCTGCGCTTGCCAGGATCCCGTCGAGGACCAGCCGGAGCAAAAGGAGACTCCTCGCAGGGTGGTCCGCTCGAAGTATGGCCTGTGTCCGAAGCATCATTGTGCGCGGCGACCTTACATTTTCGACTCTGGTAGTAATGCAGGAAAACCCTTGCACGTGTGCAGTCGTTTCTTTAAGAGCAGTGGTGACAAGCGCGATTGCTGGCATTTCGAGATCAGTTTCGAGATCGTGGATAGTCGAGTCGTGCAGGATCTGTGGCCGGATGCAATGAAAGAGAAGCACTCTAGTTTTCGAGCCCGCCTTAACAGAGCCGGCCGCTGATCTCAGGCTTGGAATGTCAGGGACCGGAAACCTCAGCTGTATTTAGCGACGCTGCGGTCGCGAATATCCATGCGGTTTCTTAGCTGTCTTCGCCTGCACCCGAACAGCCGCGCTGGCTTGCGTGTGCGGCACATCAATTAGTATAATTAGGGTTGGCGACAGCCGTGTTGTCCTTGACCCAAAGTCCGTTGGTTTCCCATTTTCTTAGGGTCGGGAACATGGTCTCCTCGCCTGCTGTGATTAGCACATGCATCATCGCGCCGAAGTACATTCGGCGAATGTAATTCGCACCAATTAGGATAGGCGACATGCACAGCTTTCCCGACGGGAAAGTATCCCGGTGCCAGCTTCCATGGACTTCGGGACGATGCGATAGCCCTGCCATTTCTCTTTTGGAGTCGACCGTTTCCCTGAGGTGCCTCGCCGTATCATCTGCGCGGTGTGCCGCTTTCATAGGCTTGCCTGTTCGGGAAGCCATGCTTCTTTGCGAAGGATTTCGGAGTGGTTCGAGTTGCAAGGGTGTACAGAAGCAGGACGAGCAGGGCCAGGCAGCTGTTTCGGAAGCTAACACGGGGTTCATGTGCTTTTGTTGCATCGGCAACATGGAATCGCGCTATCAGCGGTTTTTTGCCTCGAGGAAGGATTGAAGTGATTGAAGCATGCGAGACAGCTTTGACGTTCAGGCTCGGCTACTGGCCAGTCCAAGCCGAACATCCGAGTGTTTATGTTATAGATCCACACTTCTGTATAAAAGTATATATATATATATATATATATATATATATATATATATATATATATATAGTTCTTCAGCGAGATCTTAATGGCGGCAGTCGTTGGGTTTGAAGACCGTAGTCAGGGCTCAGAACAATGTAAGTTTTTCTGCGATTTTCTTTTGTATTTGATGTATTGACAGAGTAGGCTTCTACATCACACCGTTTCTTGTTCGGCTTCCGTCGCAGTCTTGTTCTCTTCGTGCTAGTAAAGGCCATGTTCAAAATATGATCGGAGTTCGTGGTTCATGACCTGAAGCCGTAGGACATCAAAGTTTCTTCGAACATCGACGCAATGCTTGCGCATCTCAACCGGTCCCGTGCACGGTACGAGGTTCAGTCTGCAGATGTTAATTCTGCCGAGGGATTCAGGTCGCCGCCGGCCGATCTGGAGCGGCGGTCGGCCGCGGCAGTTGTCTCCCGGGTCCCTTGGACGGCCGCGGATATCGATGCGGACTCGGACGTGGAAGGCTCTCCGACGAGCGTTTGTTCCGTTTACACGGTGTTTTCGTCCGAGACCGAAGAGGCTATGAGGGGGAGCGTGGAAACAACGCGACTTTATGCATACTGGCAGCCATCATCGCGCGCGCTCGCCGGCGGCTGCTCGTGTGTCCTGAGCAAGCTGTGTTCTTGCAGAGACCACTAGCAGCAGCCGTAGCATTGCACGTGCGTGGGGTGCGGATTCTCAGAGCATCGATTTTTCGCCGGCTCCAGGATCTGCGTCGCATGGATGCGTTTGAAGAACGCGAAGTGCGTCTAGTCATTGCCGATTTAGTATGGTTACTCTGAGATCGACAGCGCCGGACGGCGGACGGATCTCAGGATCACTGGCCGACAGCTGAGTGTGTGGGTCCCGGAGCTGTCAATTTCCAGGCAAATTCGTAATTCCCTTTGCAAACGTTTCACGGAAGGCTCGGTCGGAAGCGGTCGCAAAGCAGCTTTCATTGTACCTGTGTAGCTGTGGGGATCATTGGAGTCAAGAACAAGAGCATCCTCCACGCCAGGTTCGCGGAGCTTCGCACGACATCCAGTGCAGAGTCTGTGGACGGATCAGGCGCATCCGTCGAAGTTGCATGTTCTTCGCAAGGTCATTTTATTGGTGTATGCATGAAGTCGCATTCACGAGGCCATTTGGGCTCTTTGACGTTTTGGAAAGTGCCCTTGTTTTTTGGCCGGAGCTTCGGCTGCTGGCCAGGCTAAGTCGTCCAAGCGATGAAGCGATCTGCAGCAATGCTCGAGACGAAAGCTTCTTCCGGGGAGTCGGGCCAATGCTTCTCCAAGAGTGGGCGTTTCAAACTTCGCCACACCGAAATAGTTGCAGGCCTGCAGTACCCCGGCTTGAAAGACTTGGTGGAGCGCTGGTGCGCCACGTCCGTCCCCCTTCGGTACACGGCCATCAAATCCAGCAAGAAGACCGCTCCGAAGAAAGGATGTGCGGATTTTCTCCGCATGGATTTTTGGTGCAACTCTTGCATCCAATGTCACGGTAGGAAAGGCTGGCGTGGCTTTGCATCGTACGAGAAGGAAACCGTCCGCATCTACACCACCGAGGACTCGGAGCACGGCAACTGGGACTACAAGTATGGAGGGCGACAGAAAGGTCTCGACTCGACCGCAAAGGCTCTGGTCAGGCAGGGCGTGCAGAACTTTCCGAACAGCCACGAAGTGGTGGAGTTTGTTTGTCGGCACTTGCCGTCGGGGGTGGAGTGGCCGGAAGAGAAGAACCTGAAGTTTTTCATTGATAACTGCCGCAGGAGCTTGCATCGCAAGGCTCCTCCGCAGTTGCCCATCGGAGCACCCTGAGGGCTCGGTCCGTCCCTGTCAATGTCAGCAATTAATTAATTCATTTCGTGGATGTTTCACGGATGCAGACGTGTGTGCAAGCGACAGAACACGAGCCTTCCGTCCCCGGCAGTCACATTGAAGCCTTTCAGGTTCGCTGTGATTGTAGTTCTCGAGCCTGTTGCGTTTATTCTTGATTGCAAGGTCATGCTTTTGCAATCTTTTGGCTCGAACCGTGCCACGCAGGAGGCTTCGGCTGATGGCCAGGCCAAGAAATTTTATACGTGAGTTCTGTTTCTGCCATGCACAAGGCCTCGGCTGCTGGCCAGGTCAAGACGTCCCACAGCTTCCCTTTCTTGCGGCTGCCAGCCAAACTGGTCTTCGGATCATGCAAGAGCGACGCGGGGGGCTCCGCGCGAGCTATGTCGCCGACATGGTTGGATGCCAGGAGAAGTGAGTTCTTCGAGCTGGCGGAGGAAATCAAAGTGCGGGGGGGCGGCATCTTCAAGAGTGCGAATTCTCATCTCGGGCAGCAGCGCTACTTGCAGCTCTTCCAGTTTGTCGTCTTTTGCTGCAGAATCGTCGTCTTCTGCGGCAGAATCGCTCTTCCTGCTGTCTGAGCTGCCATTTGGGAGGAGATCTTTTTCTTTCCCGAAAGTTTGCAGCCGGGACGATGACGCATGGCATCGGTGATACGACGCCGAGCACGACCGACGACTCGGTCATTTGGCCGTCGAGCCGAGGGTGACCCACTGACTCTTCCGAAAAATTGTTGCATCCACAGGTGCACAGTGGTGACGACTGACGGTGGTGGTGGCAAGCCCACTGGCGGAGGTTGGTGCACCGTGTGAACTGCGACAGCGACGACGACGGCAGCGACGACAGCAGCTCCTCGGTCTGACGACGGCTCGAGTTGGCAAGGGCGGTGGCGGCGACGACGACTGTGCGGTGCTTTGGCCCGCGACACTGAAAGAGCGGTAGCGAGGATACGGATAGCGAGATTGGGTCGGCGCGATGGCGATGGTGGCGAATAGGACGGCATCTCGACTCGGTTTGACCACGGCTGGAATTGCTGGGGCAGAGCATTGCTCTGGCCCCACACCGTGCAAGGCGACGGTGGCGATGACGACAGGGGTGAGCATAGACAGGATATACAGGGGGTGGTGCACCTGCTGCACCGGCAGCGAGAGGGAGGATGCTGCGGCGACGATGACGACGACGACGACGGTGTTAAGGCCTAGAGCGTATAGCGCAGAATGAGGTGCAGAATGCATGGTTCCGAGATTGGAGGTTCTGAGTTGGAGTTGCGGTGCATGCAGAATGAGGTGCAGAATATGAGCCCGCCATATCCCACCAGTGAGCATAGTGAGCCTGGCGGAGGTTTCTACCCAGGAAGAGTGAGGTTAGGTGACGTCAGCGACGACGACGGATGGAGAATGACAACGAGGGCAGCGACGATGACGGTGCCCACTCGGTTTGTCCCCCAATCATGTTCAAAAAGCTGAGAAATGCATGTAACTCGCACTGCGGTACTTGCAGTATTAATAACGTGAGAATGCTTCGCTTTGCCTGGAAACGTCAGACATGCCACCATTCGCCATGCGGGACGCACCAAACAGAAGCACGGTCAGGGCAAGAAAAGCGACAACTTGGCACAAGGTACTGTCAATCTACAACATTGAGTTGGCATGTCTTTCCGAGCATTTGGTGACTTATGAAATCGCAAAGGCTTAGTTAGGCCCATGCATCGCTATGCACTGCGACGACCCCTTGTGCCATAACTAGCAGCTGGCAACCAGCACGCGGCTGAGGCGCGGATAACACTCACTTATCAATGACAAACTTACCTGATGCCTGCAGCATCTAGGAATCTGGGCCATGCTGCAGCCCTCGTTGCCAAAGACGCTTCGAGGCAAGCGGTTTGATCATTGCTTCTTGGTGCGACGTCACGCAGTGGCAAGAGAGGGTCTGGACCAGGAATTGCCAGGGGCTGCCTCAACATTCGCCGTTTTGCGGAGGTTCGCGCCCCAGTTGTTCTGGGCTTGTGAAGGTTTTGCAGATGCTGCACATTTATTTGGCTTATGTATGTTTTACATTTTCTCCCAGAGTGATTTGGACAGTTCCTGGCAGCTCCGCCGCGAAATTTCAATCCGTTGCTCGTCGTAGACGTGAACCAGACAGGCTGTGCAGAATCTTTTCCGTTGCGGGGTCGTGGGTGAACCTTGCTACCTGACTTCAAGGCTATTTTTGCGAGAAGCGCTTGACGAGATGTGTGGAAAGCCGCCGATCAATATTGAAACAATGCAGCTGTTCAAGATCATGGACACCTGTCACGAATTGCCTTGAACAATTGCTGGCTTTCAGCACCGTTCCAGGCCTGTCGGCGTAAAACATGACTGCGTCAGTGACAGATGCGGGGGACAGTCACGCATACATGCAATGTCACGTTGGAGTTAATCCCTGTTTGAGCAGCCGCTCAAATTGTTTTTGCAGCTCCCGCTGCTGGAAAATACGTTCGATCGTCGTTTTGGCGGACAGGGCGTCGTTGCGTAGGATTCAAGTTCAACTCGCGGGATGCCCTGAGCTGCAGTCAACCACTCGCAGGCTTAAGCCGGTTTTGCCAGAATCTCTCTCTCTCTCTCTCCGCTTCTCCCGACGGTCGTGCTGCAGATTAGTTGCTTTCGGTGAGTATGTTATGGGCACAAAAAGCATATGCTACTGGCACGGAGCATGCAGGTTTCGGAGATGGAGCTTGATTGATTCCGTCAACAGTCGCACGGATCTGTTTCTTGTGCCTCCATCTTTTTAGGTTTCGCAGCCACCTCCCAAGTAGCATTAGCAAGCTTCTTGTGGGATCTCGCACCCTCAACTCACATAGTTTAGTCCTCGCATCCCACTCCAGAGCAGAGGTTGCGAAAACAGATCCGCGTGCTGCGGCTTTGAGCTCGGAGTTTCTGGAGATTATCACTTGCACAACTTTGTCGGACGGATGTTTGCAGAGACAGGTGGTCAAGATTTTCAATACGCGGCAGCGTCCTGGTTGGACAGTTCCGTGGCAGGAGCTGGCTGAGTAGGCTCTCAAAGTTTTCCTGCTAACATGTCATGATTTGGTGCATTTGTTCCGGCAACATTTCAGGCTTTGCCAGTAGCTGTTGGTAGATTTGCCCTGCATCTGTTATTTGCCTGAATATTTTTGAACCTGCGCCTTGTTGAAGCTGTGAGGACCAGCCAGTTGAAAGTACATCAGGCAGCACCAGCCAGGGTGTTGGTGTAGCGGCATTTGTTTCTTCAACCGCTCCTTGGTGCCGTTGAGGCTCTGGTGCCGTGATCCGTGCAAGCCGGAAGCTGAGAAGCAAATCGAGACACCCACCTTCCACACTTCCACGAGCCAAGCACGAAAGTTGTGCAGAAATCGTGCTTCAGGCATAAATGGCCGAGTCCCACGTCATGCAGCCAGCGACTGAGATGGAAAGCTCGAAGAGTGATACCGGACCCTTCAATGGATTGTAATTTGATTTTGCAGAAGCGACTTGTGATGGACTTCGTCACTGAACCCCATAGGCCACTCAATGCACTCACTGCCTTCTTCATCTTGTTGTCTGAAGTGCAGGCTTGCGTATAGGTCCCAGGTCCTTTTCTGCAGTTCGGAAGGGTTGTCGGCGTTGCCGCCGGCAGTCGTGCTCTCGTCGGAAAGTGTTCTGTGATTTGGTGAACGACTTGTAGCAGTAGCAATTAAGATTTCAACCAGCTCTGGAAGCGATTGCTGTTGATGACAACGACCGGTCGGACATATCGGACCAGAACACAATGCGCAAAGGCTACAGCAGGCAATGGGCAAAGAACCGTCGCGGGAGTGTCCGAGCACGCGGGCATTTCCAGACGACTTGCGGGAGCAACATCTGTAGCCTGTGACAGACAAACTGCTGCAGTTTTTGTACGGAACGCACCGCACAAGCCATGCTGAGATAGATTTGCATCTGCGTTGACCATGCTGTTGCTAGTAAGTTGAAAGTCTTCAGAGGGTTCGTTCTGAGATCACGTCCACAGACATGCCGAGGTTCTAACCGCTGCGCACGTAATTGCGGACAGCAGGTACTTGCAGGCAGGCTTTCTAGTCTGTTTCTAGGCCTACGCGGCCCAGGGTCCGCTTGAGCTGTGCTCGAAAAGGTGACTTTGCGTTGCAGGTGCAGCGCACCAACGATCGCTACAGCGGTGAGAAGTTCCGTCCCGGCCTTAAGCCATGGGCAAGACACGCCTTTTGCTGATCTCCAGCACACTATGGCATGCCCGATGGTAAGATAGTAAGACGGATAAAGGGCATGTGAGAACGTGAGGGCGTGAGCCGTGGGTGAGTGAAGAGAAGAGATCAGCTGAGAAGCGCAGTTTCAGGGCACCTCTCGGCCCTTGTCTTTGGATGTTTCTGCTTTGAGTTGCATGTGAGGTGCTCATGTCGCGGCTGTTTGCCATGAGATCGACTTGGCATTGCGCCCCTTGCGATCATTGTACTGCCAGTCGCATGGGTGAATTGCACTCCTCCCGTCAATTCGACGAGAGAGGCTGACATTGGAGGAAGACATCGTCTTGGAGGAGTGCTCCTCGTTGGATACTCCAGCCTCGTTGTCGTGCGTTTCGTTTCTTATTGCCTACTAGACCTGATGCATTCAAGTGCGCACGTCCCTTCACTGCTTCAACCTTGAGCTGCATGGGCACCAGAGCAAGTACTCATCACACGTAGCCGTTAGAGGTTGTGAAGCGGCGCCACGCACATATCGTGGTTGGGAGCCATGCAGCAATATCCGGCGCTGCCAACCCCTTGCTCGTCAAGCACGGCGAGCAGGTTCAGCCATTTCCTTGGTGCTCCAGGGATGTCCACAGCATGCCGTCCGCGGAGCGGCATTCCAGAGAGGCTGCACCGCTCTGCAGCAGCGGCTATAGCTGCTGGCACCTTAGCATTTTGCACAACAAGGCGGCGGAATCCGTCCGCCTGCCAGCTTGCTGCAGCAAAGACCCGGGCCAGGCGAGCTCCGACTCCTGCACGCAAACAAAAAGCAGATCCAAAGCTTGTGGAAGAACGTAAGCAGGCTGTGAAAGAAATTGCTCAGCAAGTGCCTGAAGGTCAAGGTTGGTTGATGGATCCCGCCTTTTTCCTGCAGATCGAGGACGCGGTGTCCGAGATGGAGGAATTGAACTCAATTACTTTCGCAGCAGATTCAGGTGATCTCGAAGGAGAGTGGAAAGTGCTCTTTAGCTCTTCCAACAGTTTGAATGCTGGCACTTTCGGCCTTCTGAACGGTGAGGCGCGCCAGGTCATTCGCACGCGGGAGCGCAAGCTGGTCAACACATCATCTTTCTGGTTGGGCTTGTTCCGAATGGAGTGGACCACGTCTTGGAAATCCAGGGGCCCTCTCGGTATGGTGGTGGGCCGTGAGGATTGGTACCCTATTCTCTTCGGCTTCCGCATCGGCTTGATATCAGCCTCAACAGAGGGAATCGTTGAGTGGAAATGCACATACACGGACGAGAACTTTCGCATCTTCCGTGCCTCCAAGGACACGCAGAAAAACCAATCTAGCATCTTCATCCTTGAGCGTGCGTGAGTCCTCAGACGACAGCCGTGAAGAAGTCGGATAGATGACCGGCGGCAATGCGAAGCTAGATTCGTTTCCGTCTCACATCATAGCGACAATGCTGACAAACCAAGTCGGAAGGTTCTGTGCGTTTCTCCCAGTGACAGTGGTAAAATGGCCGACATGCTGCATCGAAGTCTCGATGCACTGCCGCAACTCCTGCTTTGTTATTTCCATCGTTCGACGCAGGAGATGGAGCCTCTGATCGTAGGATCTGTTCGTGTCCTGGATTTTGTGTGTTCACTGGCACATCACACCTTCCCGACCTAGCCTTAGTGAGGCCACGGAGCTGCCGCGCGTTTTCGACAAGGCCCCTGTCAGTGCAGTCTTTGTGCCAGGGACAAGGGAAGGCCTGGAGGCGGAGGCCTAGTCTCATGAAGATCCTTCGGCCCCATCGCATGCACATTTCGCGAAGGAAGTCATCATATGTGCACAGTCAGCTTCGAGCCGATTCAGGTTAGAGTCGTGGGCTACCCTGTTGGTCGGATTCTCAGAAAGCTGGGAACAGAGCATGAGATCATCATGTTCGCCTGCTGTCTTGCTGTCTCTCAAGCCGACAGCACCCGACGCGAGCCAGGAGGCCATGGCCCGCGAGCTAAAGATGTAGGACAGTAGTAGTCGTCGTCGTCGTAGTAGTAGTGGTCATAGTAGTCGTAGCCGTAGCCGTAGCAGTAGCGGTAGTAGTGGTAGTAGTAGTAGTAGTAGTAGTAGTAGTAGTAGTAGTAGTAGTAGTAGTAGTAGTAGTAGTAGTAGTAGTAGTAGTAGTAGTAAGAGTAGAGAGCGGTCGAGTGTGGGATCGAGTACTCTGTAATGACAATAATAAACAGTACCAGTAAGGATAAGACTAAGAACCATACTGGTAGCAATGGTGATAAGATTTCTTGTAACACTGGTACAAGTAGGGGGCCCGACTCTGGTGCAAGTCGACATTGACCGAACTAATATAGCAAGAAAAGATCACAAACCTCATGAACAAACTTTGTGGACCATGCTTCGCTTGAACATCAGGGCATCACATGTGCGACTTATCACGAAGAAAGTCGGTCAGTCTTCAGAATCTTGGACTTGAGCTGTGCAGATCGATGGCAGCAGTGAAACGCAAAGTCTACGTACGTATACGCATGCAGGCGGTTCGTTCCTGCCCAGCCGATGGGACAGTTTGAAAATCTTTGGGACTCTTGGTCCGTAGAGTTCATTCAAACTTCTTTTCAGGGGTTGTTACCGGCCCATCCCTGGCCTCTCAGATGAAGCGCCATGAACTCTTAAGAAAATGTCGCCTTCAGCTTGTGGAGCCCTTCCCCAGCCTTTAAGGTGGTGATGCCTGCAGTGTGACAGAGGGAGTCGTCAGTCGCGTGGAGGCTGCTTTGCAGTTCCTGTTGCTGTGTAGTCAGCCGAATGGCAGAGCCCGCGACCGAATCAGGATTACTTTTGACAGCCTTGCATGGGACTGGCATGCAGGTACAAGAGTACTCGCACTCTTTGCGATTTGGGCCAGCGTCCTACACCTGCAAGCTGCAAGATGACCAGCTGACCAAGCCCTCAAAGTCCGAAGAGTATGCTCGTCTGCTCGTCTGTCAAGGCTAGCCCTCACAGTCGACGCAGCCATTAACAGCCTGCACCTCACCTGTACGATCGCAGGCAACTTAACCTTCAGTTCTGCAACCACAAAATTAGGCGGCAATAGCGGTGGGCCTCTGGTGGATGCTTCCACAGCACATGCCGACTTCTCAGTGCGACTTTAGGTCGAGTCGTTCTTCGCGCAAGTTTCTATCAAGCACAAGGTCTGAATTGAATGCTTCCTTGTCAGTGGATCTCGCTGTGAGGTTGTTGGGGTTGCCTTTCAGAAAATGGTCGCCAGGGGTGTCGAGCTTCAGGCAAGCTTGCACCTTCACGGCGCTTTTACGGGAAATGACATTCTTGCGCAGGGGCATGCGGTTCCATCTCCCGTGATTCAGCGGTTTCTGGAGGATGTCGCCAGCCACAGCCACAGCGAAAATTCCATTGCAGCGTGCGTTGTAGTTTTTCTCGGCATGTTCTCCAGGCGAAAGTTCGGGGAGCAGTGACAGCACGCAAACAATTCGCTTGCGCATGCCTTCGCTTGGTTTGGGACTGAGCTTTGAAGGTTATCGTCAGACTTTGAAATGCTCCAATTAATTACCTCCTGTAGACAAACTTTCCTATGAGCAGAGGTTGTGACTATCAGTCTTTGGAGCCCGTAGCATTGCGAGAACATCTCAAGCGATGCCCTCAGAACCCACGTAGGGGTCTGCAAGGAACGTCAATGCTGAAGATGCTTGCCCAGGCTGGATGGTCGCAGAGGCATTCTAGTCAGCAGGCTGCACAATGCCAGCCCCTGAGAGGAGCATCACAGTGTGACATGAATGCGATGTAATGTAGCGACAGTGCTTGTATACAATATTTCTGTATGGTATGAATATTATGTTGTGTTATTTTACGATTTCATCCGACACTCTTGATGATGGCAAGGCAGAGACCGAGAGATTTCATATTTCGTTTTTTCTAGTGTATATATGTGACATGTTATATATGTCGGTATATACTATACAATATATACTATAGATGATCGAAATGAACAGGCCGGTGACACTCCAGCAGCTCCTGCCTCGGTGTCGGTCCGCGTGGGGTGAACTGCACCGGCGTTCTCTGTTGGGAGTTTCTGAAAATTGGGGGGGGGGGGGGGGGGGGGGTGTTATTCTGGGGTCCTTATAGTAAGGGTCCTACTATTTAGGGTACTATATTAGGGTCCCCTATTTTCGGAAACTCCCTGTTGGTCTCAGGCTTTGCGAGGCGGCGACGTGCTCATGTCCTTTAATGGCCGAAAGCCCGGCCAGCATGTGCTTCTTGCATGGCGACAAGAAATCCACGGCACGTTCCGGTCGTGCAGCAAGGTATTATCGGGATCGACGCTGTGGGGATAAGTTGTCATAGTCATATCGACTCTACTTATCGCTGCTCAGGCTTTGACTTGGATGAGCTTGGATTTTGCAGTCTCCTTGGCTACAGCCTTAGACGAGGGTAACTTGCGAGGATGCCAGCAGTGTAGCCGTCTTCGAATCGTCGGTGGTGCGTCTCAAAGCCTGCGTTGTCTTGAAACCCCGCGAAGCAAGATGGGAAGAGCTGATTTCTTGGTGCGGCTGTTTTGTCCTGACACAAGCTCTTCTTTTATGCCACTTCGGCCGTGTCGCGCGTGTCCTGCTCGTTTCCGATCGATCTTTGAGATGCATGTGGTGATAGTGATCTAGCTTACTCAGGCTTCGAACGTATACTGTCGTGACATGGTACAAGTAAGAAGTAGTAACTAGTATATAAAAGGAATGCAGGGCCAGCTGTCTTCAGAGAATGCTCCTCGGTTTAGCCGTGTGTTTCGTCGATGTCGTTGTTCTGGCTTCTTCTTTGGAATGTGCGGAAGCCGTGCAGTGTCTCCCGGAACCACGAGAACAGTTAAGCGTGCACAAACCCAATGCCTCGAGATTTGCCATAATATACTGCAAGGCGGAGGTTGGGCTCTCTTGCGTATGACCCAACAGCAAGTGCGATGGAGTGCTTCGGTGGCACCACCAAACGATTGAAGCAGAAGCACCTCACGACATGCAACTGCAACCGTGCATATATGAGTCAACAGACTGTGCTGCAACAGCCAGCCCATTTTGCTTGCGTGGGTCAGGTTATCTAGAGACGTGCTAATCCATCCGCCATTCCGCACACAAAGGACGCCGTTTGCATTTTGGTGCCGCGCGTGACCTTTGCCAGCAGCCTAGCCCTGATGCTTAAAGTCGGCCAAGCCAATTGCTTTGCAATGTGAACTTACCAACGGCCTGGCACTGACTGCTGCTGCCGCAGGCCGTGTGGGCACCACTGTTACAATGAAAGTGTGGCGATCACAAGTCGAGCAGACGGTCCAACAGGCACAGTCTGCTACTTCCGCCGGTTCCGAAATGTGAGGCTTCGGGTAGGATGGGCTCGAAAGTTTGTTGAGTTGTCTGTGCACCCCTTTTCCCGAGTCTCCCAGTCTGTTTTGAGACTCCGCTCTATGTGGAGCTTTCCACACACGGGTCTGTGGTGATTCAGATGGTAGCACCAGTGCAGACTGTTTCACCTCGTCAGATCAGGGGCCGAAGCGTACGGCAAAAGGGGTAGCACCAATAAAAATGTTTCCACTCTTCAGATCAGGGTTTGAGGCCCATGCATTCCGCCAGGTCCTGCAGCCTGCGCGTCACTTGGTGCCCAGGCGCTCGTTGCGCACAGCGAATCGCAAGCTAGTTGAAACACATCATCCAATGATCCAAGCCACTACTGTCAGCGGAGTGTGCTTTCCGATGCAGGGGTGAGTTCGACGTGCGGCCACGCTTCTTCATGGTCGGCGGACTGGTCTTCCAACCATTGAGTCGGCAGCTTACGCGAGCCTCGAGCCTCTGCGGGCTCCTTGAAGCGGCTTTAGGATCCGGAAAATTTTCTGGTCAGTCCAGTCTAGTCTCCAAGCTTCTGAAGGTCACACGGATGCGCAGCAGAGGTTGGCCCTTGAGATCCGCAGCATTTCGGATTCGGCCACGGGCCACCACTGACACTACCAGTCACTACCACAGCAGTCACTCTCCGTCCGGCAATGGCGGCGAGCCATAGCTTTCGCAAGCGGAGAGTCTGGCCGCTGATACTGCTTGGCGCCATAGGTACACAAAGGACTTTCGTGCCCCCTTCAAAGAGTGATAGCTCCGTAAGAACTTTGGCAGCACCACGCGGAAACAGTCCCGCTGCCGCATTGGCGGTTACCCCTCTCCTTCTCAGTACTCCTGCATTCGCACAAGAAGAGGCGGGCATTGCGTCAGCCTTCGTCGCATATGGCCATTACCTTGGCTTGGTCTTGTCTGCTGCCTGTCTCGTGACAGAGCGCCTGACTGTGAAAGCCGGAATGACCAGAGAAGAGGAGCAACGATTGCAAGTTGCAGATGCGGTATATGGACTGGCTGCTGTGCTCATTGTGGTCACAGGCTACCTGCGAGTTACGCAGTATGGGAAGGGCTGGGAGTTTTATCAGCACGAGCCGATTTTTTGGGTGAAGTTGTCTCTTATTGCGGTCACAGGCGCGGTCTCCTTTTTCGTGACGACCACGGTTGTGAAGCGTGCCATCGCACAAAATGAAGCCGGAGACAAGGACATTGCGCCCGTGTCAGAGAAACTGGCCAATCGAATGACCAGCGTGATCAATGCGCAGCTCCTGGCCATCGGCTCCATCCCCTTGGCTGCTACGCTCATGGCGAGGGGGGCCTTCTATGCCGACTGGCTCCCCTGGCAGGCAGGTGCACTCCCAGCTGCCCTCTTGCTTGTCGGCCTGGGCTTCAGGTATGTCAAGGAGGCCCTGGACTGGACCGACGATGAACCTGCTACTAGTAGGGCCTAGGGCTTGCTCTGGCGCAAGCTAGCGACTATCATTTCCAGACCCAACAGACCCGCAGGTAGCGCGCTCAAATAGAACGTCGACATGCGCAGACATCTGCCACAGGGGCCAATGCTGAATACTGTATAAATCTACAGTACCTTATAGGCCATCCTTCACACCCTCCTCTTGTTTCTCCTCTTGTCCCAGGCAACGAGTACCTGCAAGGCTGGGCCGCCAACGACAGGCCGTCGCACCTGCAGGAGATTCCGAGAGATTCCGGATCTGAGTTCGGAAAAGCCCTCCCCGAAGATCCTGGCAGGACTTGTTCCTATCGGGCCACGTGACTCCGGAGAGGGACGAGGTTGTGATTCTAACACAGGCCTGTGGATTCTGGAAGCTGCCCAAAGACGCTTGAATCCAGTTTCTGTTGCTTGGGCTTTGGAACAATTAGCCTCGCAGTGATGTGCGGTCGCCTAAACCTAAACATTATTAAAGGCTCCTTTGCCTACTTTACCGAGGGTCTAAAGTGGACACCAGAGTGGAGCACAGCGGGGTTTTCGTGCCCAAATGGAGGACACTCTCCTAGCTGGCTGTCTTGTACTCATACCGTATGAGAGAAGGAATGGCTCCAGCGAAGGATGTCTCTGGGCTTGGCTGGATGTGGGCAACTCCAAACTCAAGACATGGCAGAGTTGGATACGGTTGGTTCCCCCCTTGCCGCACGATGCGACAGCGTGTAGAAGAAGGTGCACGGCAACTGGTGACAATTGGAGACTGCGCTAAGACAAAAGAGCGACCAGCCAGGAAGGCTCCCCTAACCGAGACTGGCGCGCGCTCGCGAGTGTGAATCAGAGCACCAATCACTACATGCTCCGTTGTATCTAGCAGCTAGCACCTGCGGACCTGCCGGCACGGGCAGGTGCTGGCGGACACCATCAACACAGGCATTCGTCTGACTGGGAGAGAGAGCCAGAAAATGCGGCAAGACCACGAATGCGCGTGAGAGTGATGGCTGCAGGCTATGACAGTGGCTGGGTTGGGGCTCCGCTGGTTGATCAGGTCAATGGAGTTGCAGCTTTGATCTCAGAACGCGGTTGACATAGGAGCAAGCATAACGTTCATAGGCACTGAGTGCGTGGGCTGCCCTCTGTCGGCTACTGAGGTGCGAAACTTGCACCATCTCGTTGAGCTGGCACATGGCTTAGCTGAGTTGATTTGGATGCTTTCGCACACTTGAGGAACTTTAAGCTTTGACGACTGCCGGGCTTCTGATCCAACAAAGATGGCAAGCAACGCAAAACAGAAGCATCAGCCAAAGTAGCGTCACGGCAGCGCGGATCATCATGATCTTTCCACGACTTGGGGAGAGTGCTACAACCGGAGCACGGAGCATCGGCACAATCCCAAGCGACGCGGAGCATTGGGGGAATACCCGATGCTGCTGTTTTGAGACTGAGCAGGGACTGAAAGGGAGGTTTCTTCTCCGGGCACTCGACGGAGGTTAGTTGCACGAGATGGGACCATGATGTCTACATTCCGACATCGGATGACACACATGATTCATGATCTACTGTGACAGAGTAATGCATGGGCCCCGATGCCGTTGACGCTTCCGTAACGACCACTAAAAATCTGGCTGGGACTGGAAGATCGTTTCAGTGAGGAACCGTGGTGATATGAAGATGTTTGAAGAATCACTGGAATGAGTGACAACAGCTCAAAGGAAGATGGTGCAATACATGAACCGCACTGGTGACGCCATGTGGCGGTATAACATCGGCTGATGCAAACGGTTATGCCCCTGCGGTTTCCACATGTAATGTCGCCGAGCACATTGCATCGCCTTTCCCAAATTTGAACCAACTACATTTTTGAAAGCCTATTCAATTACCATTGTTGTTCCTCACGGCTTCTTGGTACAATGAAACTATAGAATATAGTGCACCCAACACCCGATCCTACTTAAGGCCCGTATATTATGCTGAAAAGGCCGCAACTGCCTTCCTCAAAGCAGCACTTGTATTCCTCATCACCGACCATCACCCAACCCTCAGCGATCTGCACTGCGCCTTGACCTCGAAGTCGCAAGTCACCAGGTGTTTACAGCAGATGTGACTCCGAGGGAAGACACGTCGAGCAGTACAGTTACTTTATTTATTTGTTGCTAGAGGGCTTTTGCTTCTGTCATGACGCTGTCTTCTAGTGCTGTTTCACATCGCAGACTCCGAACCATATGCCTCGCCTGGATTGTCCGAGTGTGAGCGCCGAAAGCAGCCGACTCATGACCACACGCCTCGCCTGGATTGTCTGAGTGTGAGCGCCGAAAGCTGCCATGCTGCGTGACATCCGAGGTCGACACATGCCGCAAGCACTCTTCTTCGGGTGATCCCGGCTTTGTGGGGGCACAGAATCGTTTAGCTGAAACCCAATGGCAACGGAACCGATGCTAGTGGCTGCAAACTTGGCTCAAGACGACAATTGATCGCATGGAAACAGGAGAGAGAGACCTTAACTCCTCTGCAACAGCATGCTTTATCTTGTGAGGCTCAACCCCGATTCTTTGCAGAATAGCTCAGACAGTGTACTCGGGCCCTACCCGGCGCCTTTCATCGCTCGGATGACGGAGTTCAAGCGGACCACGCAGGCTGTGGATGAGACGCTACGATATGATGATGAAAGACCTTTTTTGCTCCACCAACTGTTTAAGGTTTAGGGTTAGGGTTCGCTCTTGGGACTTTCTGCATGACTGTTAGGCAGCATCTGGCATAGTGGCCCAGTTCGACTTGGCTAAGGATTGAGGCCACCACTCAAGCGCTGCTTGATGGTGAGACTCGAGATTTGCAACACTTGGGCGAGCTCATCGGCAAGACAGGCGAGGGCTGCAGACATTTGACATCGGGCCTCGATGTTCAATCTTGCAGGTCCGACAGTTGAAAAGCTGAGCCGCAAGGCCGCCGAAACTGACCCTTCTCAGCAGCCAGACGTCCACCGGGACGCGCAAGCGGCGAGCGCCCACGCGATAGCACACGACGACGAACTCAGGACCCGGCGAGACAAACTTATGGACCTCAAATGCGAGAAAAGGTTCTTGCACTGGTCGAGAGATGGACAACTGCCGGGTACCCAGTTCGCGCCAATACCTGTAGCGAATCAAGGAAGTTTGGATCAAGCAAGGTCGGGGGCTTGGCCCGCGATGTCCTTGCAGCAAGAGGAGGCAACGTAGTCGTGGCCTCGGAGGAGAAGTCCGTACGAGTCATGCCATCTCTGATCATGTAGGAACCTCCTGGGCTTATATTCCCAGAAAAGTGGGATTCATATAAGGAGCCCTAATAAATGCCCACGGTTTCTGAATCAGGTTCCTGCATTAGTGTGGTATGAAGTCGAGCCGAAGAGACGCAGGAAGCCGCCGCTCCACCACCGCCTCCACGACCCCAGAGCTCCGTACTCTGGCAGCCCCCTCAGGCGCGGTTTGTGTGTGCCGATTCCAGAACAGCCATTTCTGCATCACTGGAACGATGTCGGAAAACCTCCAAAACCCACGAAATCTCCACAGTCATGCTGCTAGTGACTAGTGTGATGGGATGACAGACAGATTCATTTTTGCAGAGGGGGGCTGGGTGCCCCAGGTGCCAGTATGCATGTTGACGCGTACTTGCGGGAGTTTGATGCTTCCTTGCAACTTCTTGTACAAGCAAGCAAGGCAGAAGCACAGCGCAGTATGCCAACCTCATCTGCTGCGCCTGCGCCCGTGGTGGCAGCACCGACACAAAGGCCTGAGAGATGGAGAGGGCGATGCATTTTGCACTTTGTCTCTCATGTGGGGAGGGCACCAAACTATCACGTTGCACAGGCCTGTATAGTGTAGCTACTCGATGCTTTCGGCACCCGTCCTTTCACGCTTCCTACGACACTGCCTACATGTGTCAGTGAACGGCGAGCACGGGCAGCGGCAGCGGCTGAGAGCCGAGCAAAAGGAGGCAGGCACCTATGTTACGAAAGGTGCTTGATACTCGCCTCTGCATACTATGCAAGTACCAAGTACCAACACTTGGGATGCCTCCATGCCTCTGGCGCACAGGCAGCACATCAATCACTCCAGCGATTGCTCCTGTTGCACCGAAAGTCCCACAGCCAGTGGTCGCAAGGACTCCTTGCCGAGCAGGAATTGGCGAAGAGTGAATTCTTTTTTGGAGCACCTCGGGTTTCAGTGTCTTCAGACGGCAGCTTAGGATGGATGCCTTGATTCACGTGGTCCACTGTGTTTTCGTGGGCCATGGCTACACCAGCGAGGAGAAGCAGGAGCGTCGGGTGGTTGCTCTTCGGGTTTCCTCTCTCTGCTCAAGGTGAGGATATTTGATGTCCGTGCTGCAGTATGCTAGACTCGATGTTGACAAAACTCCGAGCTGTCCCCTGGAATTGATGCAGTTCGTTCAGACCGACATGCGGCTGAGAATAGACATCGCCATTCAGCAGCATGAAGTCAGCTTGCCGCCCCTCTTAACCGCGTTGGGAAGCTTCTGAACCACACACCAGGGATTTTTTGACAAGCCATTGGAGAAAGAGAGGCAGCTTTTCGAATCCGATCCGTAGCGCTACTCCGAAAAGAACGAAGTGCGCAGGAGTTCTGTGGTCACTATCGCTTGCACTATGCTCATGATCACAAGCCGCCCATTCGAGTAACTTACGATGCTCTGCTGCAAGCATCACTGTGCATTCAGTTGGGTCTCTTCATCTTGCACGGGCTGTACAAGCAAGGTCCCTTTGCAGCGGCATCTCGTCACATATGCCGCTTCCATGCAGCTTGACAATCCACTGAAGGCCAGACCAGACCAGCAATCGTTTCGCAGTTGAAGCTCATGGTATCACGGTATTCTATGGTCGTCTCAACCGCCGGCCTTTCTCGAGTGAGCGACAGGCAACCGTCCAGGTTGGCATGCCAGCCGCCGCAGTTCAAGCGAAGATCGACTACTTACTGTGCTTCCTCCGCAATGTGCAGTCTTCTTTAGACGTGCGTGGCTGGAAAGAGCCCTCCTTTTGCTGTGCACCTAAGGCTTTACCCTTTGCTTTACCGCCAGTGTGTGCCAATGTTGACAGCCACGCCGCCTGAGGCAGCCCTGTATACAAAGCTTGTGGCACGCTGTTGTATCTGTTCTTGGCGATGCTAGTTGCTTCCTGTGGTGTAGGCGCTCTTCGGCTTCATCTGTTGCCTTTCTATTCCAGTGTCTTGGCTGAGTTTAGGAGGGAGGCTTCGACTCCTCACTAAGCTCTGGTGTGGACAGCTCTTATTCCTCGATAGCTGGGTGCGGTGAGGTTCAGGTAATATCCTCTGTGGGATGTCATTCCGGGTTCTGGGCCTGGCATGGGAGCTCTCGGGACCGGGTGGTTGACAGGGTGCTGTGTAAGGGATGCTCTAAGGCTAAGAGCTGGATTCTGTAGCAGTCAATCCTGGGCCGTTTTTGTAACATTTACAGTTACAGGTTCAGTTTCGCTGTAACAGGTTGTTGTGCGGTTCAGGCTGCCGAGATTCTGTTGCAGCGGTGAAGCTAAAAAATCTCAGAGATATTCAGAGATGCTCACTAAGCTGGACTACCTCCAGTACATTTGTTCTGTCAGACGGTTCGCATGAAGTAGATGCTGTATTGTCATGACTAGGCAATAGTTAGCGTAGTAGTGTCGACTGTAGCCACGGTCTACTGTTCAGCATAGCAGTTTGCAGTTGCACTTGAGTCTGTGTGCGCAGCTGCCTAGAGAGTTGAACCTGTCGACAGACACAGAAGCATCTGCATGCAGCCGAAGCATCCCGAAGGATCATTCGTGAGAAGTGCCCGTGAGGCTTTGTCAGCGGTGAGCTCGACTTGTCGAAGCCTTTCTTCATCAATCCTGGACGATGATCCTTGGAAAAAGCCATGGCGTAAAACATCGTAAATCAATCAGCCAGGCGGCCGCAGAACTTTCGAGTTTTTGAGTGTGTGTGTGTGTGTGTGTGTCCGTGTGTATGCGTGCAGTCCGAGGACATTGTTTGGCTTCGGGTGGTGCTATCTCTGCCCCAAAGCCAACACATCCAGCAGGAGATGGACGCGTTGAGGAAAAGAGAGAGCAACGGAGAGGCAGAAGCACTGATGATTGAGTATTGTGACATTCAAGCCGTGTCGGGCTTCCTTGCGGAGAGGCCATCCCACGCGGAGCCTACCGCAATTTGGTTCGCGCCGAGGTAGGCAGGGATCAGGAGCCGACGCCCGCACCTGTACGTCTCGTTCTCGCTGTGCCGATCAGATCGGATCCTAATTGCTTTCCGAATCATACACTATTTGTTCGCTTCAATGGGTGGGAAAGTTGAAAGTAAGTTGCAGGTGCAACGCGCACGTCGGGAAGCTGAAACCGAGCAGCGCAGAAGACAGGAAGCTTTAGCCGAGCGAGGCAGGCTTTGCAGAAGCGACGACGGCTAGTCAAGTCACCATGTGTACTAATACGGAGAGTAGTTGCTGTAATTGCAGGCAGGCTAAGAGAAGGGCTGCTGCTTCAGCCACGGCGTGCCACGCCGTGTTTGAATTTGTCGGTCTGCACATGCCAAGATTAGAATCAGGATTGCTTCTGAGGCCCGCAGATGCCAGGAGGAGGCTTTCCCTTCGCCAGAGGCTGAGACAGATGTGTCGAGAGCTGGACGGCACGAGCATGCTTCGCTGTCGGTGTTGACCAGGTCTTCAGCCGGAGTAGGAGCACTCAGCCGAAACGCTGCAGGTCATTGGCGGACCACACGATTTGGAGCCCCCTGGTTTTCGACCACCGCTGCAGCCTGAGTATGCACTGAGACTTGACAGCCCTCAGACTCAGTTGATGGAAGTGCTTAGGCCAAACCCGTTTCGCGGCTCCGTTGCAAACGAGATTTGCAACTTGCAGCCGGCATGTTGCCTTTTTCCACCAACTATTGCGGCTACAGGCTGATACTATGCCGATGGCTAGCAGTGCCAAAGGTGAGAGGGCGAGAGAGATGCAGGTAGCCATTTTGGCTCAAGAATTTCGGCCCCCTTTGCAGCCAACCAAGTGCTGCTTCCCTGGCCTCGCCACGCAAGCATGGCAAAAATGGCAAGCTTTCGAAGCTCTGTCTCGAAACCCACAGCCATGGCGACCATTGCAGCCTGGATGCTGCTGGGGATACGCTCGGTCCAGGCGGACATGTACCTGAACAACCCTCGCGGCTCCAACAACAAGCTGCGCGAGCAGAGCAACAACGTGCAGAACGCCAATCGTCTCTTTGACTCCCAGAACAACGCCGCTTCTGGATACCAAATCGGAGATGACTGCTACGAGGTGACTCGGCAACGTTAGAAATCGGCAGCCGCACTATTACCTCTGGAAGATCCCGAAGCATGTGAAAGGCCGCACGGTCCTGCGCATCCGGTACAACCTCTCCACAGGAGACTTTAACTATGGCTCTTTGGCACATCCAAAGGTCGAGGGCACGGAACTCACAGGTGGCTTGGCCGACGCCTTCTTCATGGACCAGCGTTTCAACGATCCCCAACCAAACACCCGACGTCGAAGTATCTTCAAGGGACGCCCGAGCGTTCCGATTCCTCTGGCCCAAAACCCAGTAGCGGATTGGCTGAACCTGGAAGATGGCTCCGAGAAGTCGCGCCTTCTGCAGCTGCAGGTGAACACGAATCAGTACGGCCGCACTTTCGAGGACCGCACCCACTCCTTCATGGTACTGGAGCGCCCAGCCGACGTTCCGGATGGCAAGCGGATTGTCAACTACAACGTGCGTGGTCGACGTGGCAACATTGTGCAGGTGTATCCCTCGGTTGAGTACGACTTCATTCCCTCTGAGCTGTCTGTGGAGCAGGGTACGCTGCTTCATTTCCAGTGGACCGGTTCCGATGCCAATAACAATGGTAATGCAGGCAACGGGCGTCAGGGCACTGATCGCTCCAATCTGGTTCAGCTCAAGTCTCGAGACGAAACGGTGCCGCTTCCTGTGGAGCAGCACACCTTGCTCTTCAATGCGATTGCGAACCCCAACGACGAGGAGGGCCGACGCCTGGTCGAGAAGTTCGCATACCTTGATCAGGACAGCATCGTCACCTGCGACCCAGAGTCAAACAATGACAACGACGAGGCGAACTGCAAGCAGCTGAACGGTGCATCAGCATACTTCGATGGTGGTCTTGTCGAGATGAAGACTGTTGGCACACACCACATCGCCAGCACGCGCAACAATGACTTCACCAATCGTTCGCACAAAGCCACCATCTACGTGACCGGCTTTCAGCTAGAAGCTTACGAAAACGTCATCCTGGGCGTAGGTGTGGCCCTGGCACTACTCCTCATCTTGTACCTGTTGTCGGCCCTCTCTGCATTGAGGCATCCGGAGCACTGGCTTTGCTCGTCGAGGTATCGCCCACGCATCCTGAGATGGATCTTGAAGAAGGAGCGGATGAATCGGCTCTTAGAGCAGCGGCGTCAGATCATTGCCAAGAACAGGAAAGAATGGGCCAAAAAAGTCAACGGCTATGCCAGTGATGAAGAGACGGCCGCTGAAAAGGCCGCAGAGATGGCGATGCCCGAGGAGAAAATGACGTGGGCACAGTCCCTGAATCGCTGCTTCCGCCGATGTGGACTCGGTGAGCAGCGCCTGACTACGCTGCTGTACGGTGTGTTGAACGTGCTCGTCTTCTTCATTGGCTTTATCTCCAATCTCAACGGAGGCTTCCAGGGCTCTTGGGCATATCCGTTGGCGAAGGGCGGTGGTTACAGTATGGACTTGAACTTTGCAATGCTGGTGCTGCCCACTTTGAAGAGCTTGCAAACGGCTACAAGGGGTGTGGGTTCATCGCGAGAATGGATTCCAATCGATGATCCGATCAGCTTCCACATTGTCATCGCCGGCTTCACATTTCTGGGGGCTGCCATCCACATCGGAGCTCACTGTGTGCACGCATACTCCATCAAAGTGGCCCCACTGATGCAACTGGACCCCCTGCATTTGTGGAAGCTCAGCGCCGAGGAGATGACTAGTGGGATGACTCTCTTCCATCAGCTTCTGAACTTCTCGAACCGCTGTGCCGTCCTCACCGGGCTGGTTCTGACTGTGCTCATGGCTGCAATCCTGGCGACCGCACTTCCTTGCTCCCGCCGCAAAACCAACTGCTGTTCGCGGCGTTTTGGAGGATTCAACTTGTTTTGGCGGGTGCACATGTCCTGGAAGTTCATTTACGTGCTGCTCCTGGTGCATGCACCGACACGCCTGTGGATTTGGTTTTTCTTCCCGGCAATCCTCGTTTTCGTCGATCGCCTCCTCCTTGCAAATCGCCAGGCGCTCAACCTGTCCCTCAAGCAGGTGAAGCTTTTGCCGCGCGATGTGATTGGCTTAACATTCGAGATTCCGCAGGGCTTTGTCTACCAGGCAGGCCAGTACATCCTCCTGGGCTGGAAAGGCGAGTGGCACCCGTTCACGTTGACCTCGGCTCCTGAGGAGAACTGCATCTCCGTGCATATTCGTGCAGCCAGCAACCTCGACTGGTGTTCCGCCCTGCGAAAACGCCTCACAGAGGAGGCACCTGCGCAGGCGAAAGGTGAGCCTATGTCAGAGAAGCCGCCGAAGGCTCCGAAAATCTTCGAGTACTCTAACAAGGTGCTTCCGAACAGCCACATCGTCTACAACGTGCCCGCAGACCAGGGGCTTGGCGAGGGCCGGGCTGCAGTCCCGACCGAGAAGGTGCCGGCGCTCCTTGGTCAGGTCTCTCCACCGTCAGGCAAAATGGGAACGGCAGTTGCCCGCTCTGGAGAGTCACTGGTCAGCAGCCCACCAAGTAGCAGCCTTCCTCAGGAGGCTGTCGTGCTTCAAGTCACAGGGCCTTTCGGCGCACCGGCACAGAAGGTGTGGGGTTTCGACACTCTCATGGTGGTCGGCGCTGGCATCGGCGTCACCCCCTTTGCTTCCATCTTGCGGTCGGTGCAACTGCGCTCGAAGCACAGAGAGACGATCATGAATGCTGCTGCCCGTCCATCGTCTTGGCGG